ATTTGGTCAAAATTAAAGTTTTAAACACAGTCTAAGAAAAATATTGTTATGGTGAGAGGACAATAAAAGAACAAGATTCAAGGAAACAGAAGATGATGTCTAATATTGCATTTAACTTTTTGAAGATCAAAGTTGACTAGAAAGAAAGAAGCCAGAAAAGCTGTTAGCATGAAACTTATGGTTACATATAGCAATTTCAACTGTAAAAAAATGAACTCTAACTACCAATGTAGTATTGTGCTTAAATTCACATTTGCACAATACTTGCACAAACAGACTTAGCTGGATGATGTATGGCATAATTGGTAAATATAGTATACAGTATAGCTGTGGCAATTATGGAATTGGACAAGATTTAACGCCATTTGACACAGAATTGAGGAGAAAGAGATGTCCACTCTCCAAAGTACTAATTGCTCTAAATTTTATCAAGCAAGAGTGGTAAGGGTATACCAAGAATATGTCAATTCTGGATGCAGGTTTGGTATCATGTGAAAGCTGTAAAAACCTGCAGGTGATGCAAGAATGAGACTATAAGTGATTGACAAGGATGTTAATCATTCAATAAAGAGGAACATTACATCAAATCACATCTGAATTCAACAAAGGTTCTGCTTGACTCTCCAATCACTGTAATATATAGCATAAACTATGGGATTTTGTTGTCATTGACCAACAAAACAACACTACAGCATCAGTTGCTGCATCTCACTTTGTGATAGGTAACACTACCATTGGACTGTGGAAGACTGGCTGCATATGTTTCCACCTTTTGGGGTTAGACAGTAGAATTTATATGTGAAGAAAACTATATGAGGTTATGGATCCAACCTGTTGAAAATTGACCCAAATAGGAGTTGACATGCCGTTAAATCCAACATCCATCCATCCAACCTGTTGACATGGTAGTGGTTCCATTAAGGTGTTGAGTTGTTCTGTAGGAATTCACAAGCACTATTAACGACACTATAGTATTTTTTTGACACAGATCCTGTAGATTATTTGTAGTTTTTAATTTTTAATATTTTCCACTGGTGATGGTTTGTTTCAACAAGATAACATTACCCTCCCTTATGTGGGTGACATAAATCTGGTTCCATGAACACTTGGTGGATACTCAGTTACTCTATTAGCACCTGGGCTTGCCAGATTTAAGTCTCATTGAGTGTGTTGCAGACCCTACTAAATTTGCTGCAACCCCACCCAACAAACACAATTCACTCTAAAATGTGCCTGGGTAAATATACCCATGCAATGATTCCAGCACTGCATAGGCAACATGCTATGTCATGTAGCCTCCATTATTAAAGAAGAATTATTATTTTTCATAAATCTTTGAATTGATATAAAATGAATGATTATGGCATGAACGTCTCTTTACTTCTTTCTGTTTACTAAACATCTGCTATTTGTTTATGTATATAATGAATGATAATGCAATAACAAATTTTTAGTGGATACCCATGTTTGAAATAGATACCCCATTTTTTATTTTAAACTCTACCAGCCAGTGCACTCAAGCAAACTTGATAAAGAAAATGTGTTCTCTGTTATTGGGGTTTGAAACTGTATCCCCCTTTGTTGGAGAAACCTAAGTGTGATCTGGTGTGCTTTTAACCATTTAGACACAGAAAGTGTTACAGCCCAGCAAGGTTCTTTTTACACTTTTAAGGAATGCATACTTTCTTCTACAAAGGAGGATGCAAGTTCAAACCCTGATAGAAATCACATTTTCATTATTGTTTCTCAAGTGTAAAAAAACCAATAGATGTAATACACATTGTTTAAAATAAAAAAATGGATCATCTAATGGGACATCTATTTCAAACACTAAAAATATCATTTGAAGTAATAAACATGTCTGACTAAAAATAAATCCATTAATTCTTTTGAAATGTGTGTATTTGTGTATAACAAATTCTTGAGTTTCTTAGTTTGGTAACACTTCATTGACTTCATTACTCTATCACTTGTAATAATTGCCACAAGGAATAAATAGGAGAAACCTTGAGGAATTTAAATGAAAGATTATATGACAACAAAAGGGATCCTTTACAAACGACATACTCAATGCATTAGTTGCTTACTGTAATGATTCTTACCATAATTTTGATTTAAGGCATTTTCAAAAGTAGTTCATTAAGATGGCTATTATTCAGATTTAGTTATCAATATATGATCAAATGTCTGATTAATAACTCTAGTGAATTCTTAGAAATGCCATCTTCATTTTGCATTATATTAAATATTCTTTAAGAGTTAATCATGCATAATAAAACATATTTTACACTGAAAAACTTTATATTCAGCAGCATGAGTTTTTTTCGGGATTTTTTTTTCACTACTGCTCAGTCATTCTTATATTAACTTCTTCAAAATTACTAAATCAAAATTAACTTAAGTTTTTATATAAATTACTAATTTAACAGTATTAAAAAAAGTCTTGAAAAATATTGGATTGTTGACACTAGTATCCTCAAGTTATTAATGAAGTGGATAATTTGAACTGTTGAATTTGCTGAACTATTTTTGGGATTGTTACAACCTTTAGAATAAACATATTCATCAATGATGAACAAGTTTCTTATTTGCCAACTAAAGATGTGCTTCTACAGAACTTGTATTTTGTGCTCATTGGTTTCTGTGTTTGGTAAATAATGCACTGATTAAATCAGGCAAGAAAATGGCAGCTCATATTCTGACACAGAATATCATTTTGGTAAAGGTAGTTCCTCTGCTAACAACTTAGTCACTGTAATTGCTTCTGACAATATTTGTTATGTGACTGGCCCATTCAATAGGGCATCTCTAATTAAAAAGAATATCAGAAAAATTTTTCTACAGAATATAATAATTTCAGATGCAGGATCAAATTACAATTTTATCATTATTTGCTAATTTTATTTTAGTTTACATTTTAAGAAATGAAAGGAATTTTAAGTGTATCAGTTGATTCATGAATAAATGTGTGTTTTAATTTAAGTCATTAAAAGTTAATGAAAAATCAGTGAATAAATAATTGGAACTTAATTTTTTTTTAAGTGAGTTTGTTATTTAAGTAAAAATCTGCTTGCAGCATGAAAAGTGAAGTGTTTTTATAATGATGAGATTTGTATCAACTTATAAAAACAATTTTTCTCATAGAAAGACTTGAAAGAAAAAGTCGAATGTTGCATTTTATTTGAAACTGTTCCCCTTTTTTTTTCCTTTGCTTATTTCAAGTCCTTGAAAGTAGAAGATGATAATTTTCATGTTACCTGCAAGCTGTCAGCAGGTGTTTGGTGATGTTTAAAACCTTCCCTTGAACTACTGTAGCTATACAGGTGGCTCTGGCATAACCTAATAGCTTCAACAGGTGAATAAATGGTAAATGTATATAATGAAAGGAAGAAAGAGTGAAGTATAAGAGGCAAAATGGAACAATTGGAATAAGTAAAAATCAACAAAAATAAATGGTGTGTAATAAATTAAGAAAGGAATGGAAGAAAAACAAAAATGAAAGTTGTAAGAAAAAAAAACAATTATTGACAAAATTAAAGTAATATATTTAAGGCAATGCATGTTGTTGCTTCAAGGAGAGGAAAGAAAGATTAACTTCTTCATTTGTTGTTCATAGCTTTAAGGCCAAAATCTTATAAATTAACTAATTCTAAAAGTTATTTCAATCTTTTTCACATTAGGAATCTTATATCTTTGCTTGGTTATCTTTCCTTTTGTGACAAATTACATGATGTTTTTGACTTTTCTCATGTCAAGCAAGGTAGGAGATACAGAGAAATTAAAAATAGTTCAGTTGGAAAAGTGAACTAACAAACCTTTGAGATTATTGTAAGATATATGCATACATTTTAAATCTTTTTTTTTTCTTGCTTTATCTACTTTCACCCTGTTATCAGGTGATAGGGAGATGCTAGATGCATGAAGTGAATTAACACCGTGTGATCTCTTAAATGATTTATGTATTTGTTGTAGCAGCTTATCAAGTAATTAGGGTTCATTTTCCAGTATCCTCAGCTAAAAGTGAAACAATTACTAATTTGCTACTAATGTTGCTATATTAAGAGATTTTTTATAATAGGTGTTTTTTTTTTAGATTAAAATTCAGGTATAATGTTAACTGCATATTAAAGAAAATATTTAAATACATATATACATTGTATTTCATTGAAATAAAAGTTGATAATTTATCTCACTTAATGGATGGTAAGTTTATCAGAGTCTATGAAGCACAGATCTCAAATATGTCATCTTTTTTTTAATTTTATATTTTCTTATGCCTTTTAATGAAATATGCAAACTGACACAAAATAATATTTCCAACTATTTAAGCAAGTGTACAAGCCACTTGTTTTTTTTGTTTTTTTTTTTTTTCATTATTATCTGTGAATTGGGACAGATAACAGAGTTGTTTCCTGTTACCTTCTGCACAGTCTGGAATTTAAAGTTTTCCTTCTCTTAGACTGGTTACCATCCAAGGCTAGAGAAGCCAGTCTACCTTGCTTTTTAACATATAGCTAAGGAATAAAGACACATTCAATCACATATAACTGATGTTATTCTTAATTCAAAAGCAAACCTAAAGAAAATAATTTGAAATGGCAATAAGAAAATATTTTTGTGGAATAATCAGTGAATATGAAAACTTAAAAGCAGCCATGTTAAAAGATATGGAATATATAATCAAGTTTTGTTTCTTTATTATTATTAAACAAAAGCATTTGTTGATTTGATTGAATTAATCAGCTGATAACTTCAAACTGTCATCTGAAAGACATTGTATATTGTAATAGTGTGAAAATATTTTTATAAAAACAGTTTTCATGTCCTTATTAGAAATATATATATGTGGTAGGAACACATATCTAGAAGCATATACATCTGAACCAAATTTCAAAAGTAAACTTGCAGACATCGAGTTGTGCAAAAAATTTTCCAACCTTTATTATAAAATTGGTTTTTATTATTCAGTCCTGATTCATTTATATTTTCAGAACCTACAAATGGAACTTAACCAATTACGATGTGAAGTTGATGATGTCCGTGATTCTGCAATCAGCCTGATGACTAAAAGTGATCGCTACAACAAAATGGTGGAACCTGAGTTAAGCCACCTCAACCAGAGATGGGAAGAAATTACAGAGAAACTTAAGGTTTGATACTACAATTTTTTATTCTTTAAAAGGTCTTTTTTTTTTTTGATTGATAGGTTACTTAAATATGAAGTTTGAAATTAAGAAGACATTTTAAAATCTTGGAATACTGAAGAATGTTTCCAAACTTTTTATATTGGCATTTATAAAGAAACTTGTCCATCCTCATCAGAAATTTTATGCTTTGATGCTTTAGAGAATATCAAGTTATTGTTCAGTTTTAAAATCAAACTACATTCCTTCTTCAAATTTTTATATATATATATATATATAGGCATGTACACAGGCATTTTTTTAATAAAAAAGAAAAAGTCAATACTTAATAATATTAACTACAAACACGACCACAATGTGCTAACTGTATTTGGAAAATAAAACTTCTCCATAACACTAAAAACAGGCACACACCTAATTAAATTGAAAAAAATAAATTCATATTTGATAATGGCTAAAAGTATAGCCGAAATCATTTGGAATTATAGAAGATTTGGACAGTTTCTACACACACTGTGTCCAAAAAAGAAAACACTTCTTTGAACACAAAAAATTAAATAAAAAGCTTAATTGTAGTACCTTGTCCATTGTCTTTAATGACACATGTATAAATGAAGGATTGCTGCCTAAATACACAATATATATAACAATAGGGTGGCATAGCAGATCTTAGCCATGGTGATTAAACCTAGTGGAACCAAGAAATGTAATTTGTTTGAGCACTTTCCATGATAGTAGCAATAGAGCAGTGAGAGACTCGCCACATCTCGCCTGTGAGAGAGAGGTTGTGAGATGGAAAATAATTCAGAGACACTTTTCAAGATTGGGCAGTTCCTGACTGAATATGGCAACAGTACTCCATTTTCGGCCTGATCTGGCTCTTGTAAAGGTAGAGGATGGCATAAGGAGTCAAGTACTTACTGGAGCAATACAGAAATCCGATCATTTTACCTGCATCTTTAGCGATGGATCGTATATAGGAGCTCCACTTGAGATCAGATGTGAGTTTGAGGCACAATATCCTCTCAAGGTATGAGGCCTTCTTAAGGGGACATCTGTTCATCATGACTGTCAGTAGTTTGGGATCTGATCAGTGTTGATGGAATGTAACCAGTTTAGTCATAGAGGCATTGAATGTGACAAGCTAGTTTTTTACCCACTGAGAAGTTAGTGTTAGCAACCAATTATTATTCTTTTAGAGTTTTAGAGGTGCACTTATATATCGTCATATCATTGGCATAGATATTTACAAATGATCGGAATATATTCTTAGGTAGATCATTTATGTACATCAGAAAAATATATATACATTTGCACTTGTTGAAACAAACCATCACTATTTGCAAAATATTTTGTATCTTTATAGAACTGCAAACGTTATACATTTTCTAAATGACTTTTTTCTTGGTTTTCTTAAAGTGAAATTTTCTTAGCTTACTTATTATTGTATATTCTGGCAAATGCAGGCAAAAGATCAAAATGTGTACTGTAATATGATAGAGAAATAAATAAAAATAAATAACAAGAAAACCAAATTTTCACCATATCTAAAAATAAATGGATAATAAAAATCACCAGGCGAACAAAGCCATAGTTTGACCAGCCAATCAGAAAGCTTTCACAATCAGGATGTAAGATAAGAAATAAACAAATAATAACAAGGAGACCAAAATTTCACCATAACTGATAACCATATAAGCTCCATAAGTAATAACCTCTGATCTACTCTAAGGTCATCAGCTAGTCATGCAAATGTTGTATTCATCTCTGAATATATTATGATGACTGCAGCATTGGAGAATGGACAAAATTAATTTATTGACTGATTTAGGTTGATTTTCTGTTTACATACACATTTATAGATCCACTTTGAAAAGGGAACTTTGCTTTTCATTGGCTTGCAGCCTATATCCTGTTTGTGAAAGCTTTCTGATTAGTTGATCAAACTAAGGCTTTGTTTCCCTGGTGAATTTTTTATTACCTGTCTATTTTTAGAGATGGTGAAATTTTTATCATCTTTTTATTTATTTTTTTTATTTCTATCACCATGTATTTATTTAATTTGACTTAATTTAATTTTTAATTTATTTAATGAACTAGATAAATTATATGTAAGCTTTATATAAATTCATATATTCCATTTCTTAAATATATTGCTTAATGAAATCAGTATCTATCCTTTGTAATTTCCTTTATAATAATTATCCATTGCTTTTATTCCTACTGTTACAGACTGATTGCCATACCATCATTGACTAATTGATTAGCAGTAAATTTCTCTGTTTAGTTGATAAACTGAACAGAATTTAAATTAAACTTCATTATCTTTCTCTTTGAGAAATATGGATTTGCTACACAACCAATAGCTAGACTTCAATGACTTTTTAAAATCATGTAATACCTTCAGAATATATATGATTATGGTTTTCCATAGCTTCCTTTTCTTTAATATCAGTAAATTGTGCATTGCCATAATTGTTCTTGAGAAAGATAGGGAAGTGCTTTCCTCTTATCAAATTTTGTTCTTCTCATAGTCTCTATGCATGGCTAGAAAAGCCAGTCTGCATTGTTAATTAACCAATAGCTGAACTGGTAACGGAGAGAAAAGATGGATTTATATCTTTTCCAAAGATGATAGTGCACCATGAATAGAAATTATCTCAAGTGGAATTTGAACTTGGCTTACCAATTCCATTTTATCCATTTTCTTCTCAATAGAGATGCTCTATAAGTCATAATTTAAACTTCCTTGAAATTATAACACCTGGGATTAGGTATACAACCTAAATTTTAATCCTTAACATTTTTCTACATCTGAAAATGCTGCTTATACTCTGGATATATTATGGATTTTAAAGGCGTTTTTTTTTTTTTTTAAATTTCAATGTCATAACAACCTAGTCTTTAGATTATTCTTGAGATATGATACTGCATATTCTTAAATTTATGAAGTAGTAAACATTGTTCTTAACACTTGCCACAAATTAATGTCACCCTTGTTTTATTACTGCATTTTAACCACTGTACGTTTTACCCTGTTTCAAATAAATAATCCAAGGCAGGATGCCTTTACTGATAGTTTTAGATCTGGATGTCAGAGATTTCTGCAGACAGCATTAATTTATAAGTCAAATTTTTAAAAAATAAATCTATTTCCTTATTGTCATTACTTTTTCTTGTTGAAGACTGTTTCTTTGTCACTAAGTCTTGGGATCCACACTCTGTTGAACTATACTAGTTTTAGTTATGCAGCCTTTTATCAGACTCATATAAGCAGGCTCTTTCACTTTACATGTCATTCAAACAGGTTCCCTATTTATTATTTGAAACTAAAGAATAATGTGCTTCTTTTTCTTTCCACATTTGTTTGACTGTATCCAGTTTAATATAGCCTTTTACTGTCATTTGAATCTTTTTTTAAGGATTGGCTGTTTTCTCTTTTCATTTCACTACTGCAACTCATAGTATATTATTTGGTCATATTTTTTGCATGAGGATATCCAACCATTGTGAAGACATTGTTTAGGTCTGCTGTTTTAAAAACTATTCTGATGTTAAACTGTCTCCATTATCTCTTATGTAAGGTGAACTTATTGTAAAACATCTTTATAAGAAGTTAAAAAAATGTAGGAATAGTTATCTGGTCTATATCTTTTAAATTAAATTTTATTTTATTCACGTTTTGAAAAGTTTTGTGAGATGCTTTGTGGCTAGACTATTTCATATGAATATGAACTTAACCTATTGAAATAGCTTTGTTAATGGAGTATATTTAAACAGTGTCATAAAAATCTATCCACATTATTAGAATATTTACTCTAATGCATATTCAAGTGTTTCTTTTTATGATTCAAATGCTAATAAATTATCCTGTGATTATTAAATACATATAAAAGATAAAATATTTGGTTAATGTGGACAATAATATATGAATCTTTGTAAACAAACAATGACCATTTGTATTGACAATCCTGACTTTGAAGTCTCAAATTAACAGCAAAGATGTGAGTTGTTTTTTTTTTTTTTGGTTAAAGATAAATTGTTAATAACTTCAGAGTTTATAAAGTGTAAAATAATGCTGGAAATTGTAAAAATAAATGACAGGTACTACCAAACTGAATAGATGACTCCAATGCAGGTTGGATAAATGCAAGTTGAGGACTTTATCTTGGCAAAATGTCACTGGCATCACAAAAGAAGTTATAAAATACCTGCCTTTGTCAGCCTATAAAATCTGTGATTGTTTTGGTAATGAGGAAGTTAAAAAAAGCAAGGGTTAGGGCATAAACAAAATGGGAAAACATGTAAATCCACAAGGATAAGTGAATTAAATTGGCAACAGTATATATAAATATCAATTTTTAAATGGTTCTGTTAACGATGAACACTGTGCTACTCTTGATGGACCAATATCTGACAATGATTTCCCTCAAAGGTTTAGTCATCAACAAAGGAGATGATATCATGTTTTGGGTTTAATTATAGGTGGTGATGTGGTAGGCTCATGACCAGTTCCAGATGGTGTTAAGAATAGTAATTTTTTGAAGGCACACATGGAGCCATAGTTCAAGAATGCTTTCTAAAAGATTATTTTTATTCATGTCTGTGTTCCTTTATAATAAAGAAATCTAATGATGATGTGATTAAAATGTGATTAACAACACATTTGATGCAGTGTTTGGTTTGTTCACCAACAGCTCAATTGAAAACTTGCCAAACTTTTATGTTGGCAGATGGCAATTTACCAGTAAAAATGAACTTGGAAAATTTATTTTGAATGCTTTGCAATCTGTTTCATGTTAAGAAATAAAACAGTTCACAAAATTGATTTATAAAACTAGTTTCAGAAGATGGAGTATACATTTCACAGTAATGTTGTCTTTATAATTTTGTTTTTTGTTCAAAATATTTGTCTGTGTAAACTTTGTGTATGTAATTTTTCTTGAAGTTGAAGTTACCTGGTTAATAATGTGAAACTTGGAAAATCCAGTGGAATTCATAAAGTC